AGTTCTTGCAGTCCACATGGAGCTCTGAAGTGAAGCTGTTCGGAGTTCCTTTGAGGAGTGGAAGGGGGCAGCAGAATGGCATCGGTCAGCATTTGCTAGTATCAGGGTCTACCTTGCCAACCTGTGTATGATGGTTTCAACCACATTTGAAGGTTTTAAGTAATTTGAAAGAAAAAATGTTTTTAAAATCTTAAGCAATGTTTCTACAACTTCAAAATAGTCAATCTAGGGTTGAAAAAGTAGTCAAATTGAGCACTTAACTGAAATGAGTATTTAAGTAAAATTACCTAAGAACCTTGAACAGAGAGTTGTCATTTATTCTATTATATCATTCAAGCCATTTTAACACTTATTTTCCAGTTCTCACAGCTTTAATGGTGATAGATTGAAATCAATATGCATATGCATCTATACTTAAATAACTACCTCTGAAATAACCCTAATGTTATTGTCTTCATTGAATCAATATTTCTTAATCTCTGAAATGAACAACAAAAAAAGCATTAAGGTGGAAAGGTATACTGGTTTTATTATTCTATCATCATCAGTGGTGAAGGTAAAAATGCCTCCCAAAGGACAGGGCAGCTTATTTACCATTTTAAAAGGTAGTTTGTAAAAAATCCTAAATCACAAATCCAACAATACGATAATTAGAACATGTTTGTATGTTAGTTGTATTAGATACGCCTGTTAGCCTGTTAGAAGGTGAGATTTCTGATATCTTTTAGTAGTTGCTAAAGTATTCGGATGACATCGTGGATGATCAGAATGTAACCACACAATGTAAAAAGAAAAAAGGACAAACGGCTATTGCCAGATAAGGATGGAACAACTTAAGGAGCGGGAGGGATAAAGTGAGTGGCAGCAACAATCTCAGGGATTACAGCTTTGGCACGAAAAGTCCAGTGTTCAGCTAGCTTGCCAAATAAATTGACCAGAGAGTAAGTGAGTCAACAGATTAACTTCAGGAATTAAGCTTATTAATGGATTTCCATGCACAAATGTATCCACTCCTCAAGAGACAAGAGGTTTCCTATGCTTTGGCGGGCACTACAGATATATTAAAACATTTCCACCTCAAGTACTAAGGAAAGAGGTTGTTTTTGTTTTGTTTTGTTTTGTTTTGCTCTTTGTGGATGAATTCTCACTGACCTGAGGCAGTGCTGTTCAATACTCATTCCTTTTGGGCTCTTTTATCTTTGAACCAGAACAAGTTTGATTTAATCATGAACTGAACGTATTTGAGTAAAGATCCTTTATGTTCCCAGTTTCTCTCTCTTTCCCCCTTCCCTGTTGAGAGTAACATTTCATTCCTCCATCCATAGGTGAAAGACGTGGGAGGAGGTCATTGTTTGTAGAAAATGCCATTATCGGAAGTTAAAAACAGCTCGGTTCTGTTGTGATTTCCATGCATGGAGCAGTTGTGTTGACAGATGGGTAGATTTTATTTTTGTAGCCACGCGGGAGAAGTCTGTGCTCCACAGTCTACTCAGTGCGACATAACCCTAATGTTTGTTTTTTATCACTCTGAGAATTTGGCTCCTACATCCTCTTCAGAGAATAGATACTTCATTTAAGTTTCTTTTATCAAACTAATATTTTTACTCATATTTTCTCTATCCATTTGATCTGAAAAGATTAGAAAACCTTTAAAAATTACGTGTAAAGGGTTTATCAGTAAAGATCATGAATCACTGCTCCTTAGGTGCAGCCTTTGACGTGACTGGTTTATCACTGCCTTTACTTTTATTCTAAACTAATAACTTGTAATGCTGCTGACCCAGAGTACATTTCAGTAAAATCAGAGGTCAGTAGGTTTGCCTGACTCCTGGGAAGCCGACTTGTGGCTAAACTCCTCTGTGTGTATCAACTCAAATTCCAGAAAAGATCAGGCCTTGAGGAATGAATTCATTTTGAACTGATTACACTGTCTTTATTACACTGTAAATCCGCCAGTGCTGAGGAAAACGGTGCTGTAGCTTAATGCCAAGGAGTGCATTATATTCTGAGTTTGAAGAAACGTCACAGTTCACGAGAAGGTCAGGAACGCTCGTCTTCCGTCTCCCCTGAGCAGAAACGTGTGAAGTGTTTCCTTTTTCTGCCACACTTCCTTCTTTTTTAGAATGTCCAAGTTGCTTCCAAATAAAATGAATATCCTGTTTTGGAACACTCAAAAATGTTGGCAGCTGGGAGCTGGGGAGGAAGGCGAGTGAAGGACAGCACTGACACTTTCTGTAGCTTTCTCTCAAGAACAAACCCTTGCTAACATGTCTTTCCAGATAGGGCTTTTTCTCTGTCAATTCTTTTCATTCTCTGTCCTCCTCCACTGTTGTGGCTGATTCTTCTCCTAGCTGTTTTAACCAATTTTGCAATTATTTCCTTGCATTCTTTTGTTTGTTTTCAATCATCTTTTCCCCTGTAAGCCCAAGAAATTTCTCCTCATTCTATTGGCATCAACCTGCACTTTCAGAATAATCTTGAGGCTGCCCCTGGGCATAGCAACTATACAAACCACTGCCAGTTGGGGCAGCTCAGTGGGGAGGAAGGAGCCCGCAGGCCCTGGGCCAGCAGGGAGGGTCCAGGCTTTGTAGGCAGATAGACGTCTTGTTACTGGCCTCTCCTGGGAGCCCTGTGCCAGGTTTCACAGCGATAGTCCTGCGATTGATTTCCTGACAGGGCCTCTGCAGAATGCTTGTCTAGGATGGCCAGTCCCTTTTAACAGTTAATAGAGAACAAGCTGCAATTTTGACATTCAGTGTGGTCCAATTCTGTGACTCTCAAGAGCTGGAAGAGTTTTTCTTGCATTAATTATTATCTGCCTGTTTACTTGAAAGGACAGAATTAGTCACTGATCAATTGCTAATGAGCCATCCAACCTATAAGAAATAAGGAGCCCACCGGGGATTTAGCTCAGTGGTTTCACTGCCTGCTGTGCAAACACAAGGACCCGAGTTCGATCCCCGGTACCAAAAAGAGAAAAATAAATAAATAAATAAATAAATAAAAATTAAGAAATAAGGAGCCCGATAGACTCCATAATGTTCAATTGTTACCCATTGCCAAGGTGGCATGAGTTCTCCTGTGGGCTCATTAATATTTCTGCTCGTGAGGTTTTTCTCTTCTTTGATGTAGAGAATGACAGTGTGTTCTTACATCTCTAGGAGCCACTCAGGTCATAGCGATGGAAACAGAGAATTTGGGTTCGTGTGTAGAGACACATGCCTGTCTTCAAAGGCAGGGCAGACAGGCTGAAGCCCTGTTCTTTTCTAAAATGAACAAGCCGTCCATCTGGGCCTGCCACTATTATTTATTAGAAAGTGCATTTGCTTCCCAGTGCATACACAGCCAGTGTCTGGGCGCTGGCATATGGCACTGGGATTCATTACTTGTCATCTTGGATACTCTAGCATTGAGTCCACAATGGGGGACAGTGGTCTTTATGGAAAAGCAGAATATTTGGCCACCTACGTGTTTCAAAGTAAGATTTTTCTGACAATAGCTTCTTTGCAAATGGCAGAACTCTTTAAAGAGTACAAATACATCCATTGGCCGACTCATGAAGTCTTCATTTGTAAATGAGTTTATCAGATGTTTCCTTTTCGCAAGCTCTTTCCTCATGCCCTGTCCTCTTGGGCAAGGAAAGAAACTGTCACAGAATAAAAGTTTGCTGCCAAAGAGTTAGGTTGTAACAGTTTCACAGTTTTACCTAGGACGTTCCTTGTTCACAGTGAGTGATGAAGCAGAATCAGTTACCTTTAAGCTGGGACATTTTTTCTTCTCACAGAAAACTTGCGATGTCAACTGATTTCAGAGCATAATTTATATGTTATATTCCCTTACCAGATGAAAGAGAGATTCAGGATCTATTTGACAGAACATTGGAAAAACTGTATGTTTTAGTTACAACTCCCCACCCCAAAGGGGTGAAAAGGAACTACTCATCATATGTTAAGAAAGCACAAAGAATCATAACTTGGAACTTTTATGTTGTACTTTAAATAGGTCTAATTCATCTTTAGTACAGTGTACACAAAGGACATCAGCAACATTCATCCCAGAAAAATAAATGATAGCCAACAGTTCCTTGAATTTAAATGTCAATTATTCTGTTCATGTTTAGCTGTCTACTCCTTATTTGGGGGTCAATAGAGTTAAGACCAAAATCACCAGCTACAAAACTAGAACAGAAATGCCACATGGAAATGTATTCAAATTATGGAACACCTGAGTTATAAACTTCAACTGACTACATAAGTGCAAATGCACTTGGCTTGCAAGTGAAAGGTCCCAGTTCTTAGAGAACAGCTTTGGGAGTGTGCTACACAAGGAAATAGCAGGGCCAACCTAGTTCTCTGCTATGTTTGCCAACCTTGTTTTCCTAGACTCTGAGTTCTAACTTTATCTTCATTTATAGTCACATTCTTGATTCTTAATTTCAAATCAATATAGATCAAAGAAATAAACACTAAGAAAGTCTAGGACAATAACAAGAAAAAATTCAATGCATCTTTTGTTACTTAGCCTAGAAATATTCATTTAAAATTTTTCACAATAGGTTACTAATGATGCTTAAACTATATGCTTCATATAAATTTATAGTGCAGTGTGTTCGTTTTCTTTTTCTAAAGTCAAACTCACGGTTAATTTTTGCAAATAAATTTTCACCATGATCTTGTTTAGGTAATTTGTTATGTAAATAATCTGTTGTTCTTATCACCAGAAGAGTCATCTATGATTATTGGTTAGCCAGAACTTTTATTTCCCTTTTATCTATCTGTTTCAGTGAAACAGTTATGGAGGGACATGTTGCATGTGTGGCCATGAGTAAGAAATTCTACATGTTTAATGCAAAACAATAGAATGTTGTCAAAGCAAGGCAATCGGAAATCAGCCTTCGCAGCACGGGAGGGGGCTGCGGGAGAAACCTGTGGGAGGGCGCCCTGAGCTGGGTCAGCTCAGCATGGGGACAGCGGATCTCACGGCTCGCCTTTGTCTTGCAGAAAGAATGTGCTAACTTCATCAAGGTGCTGAAGGCCTACAATCAGACTCACTTGTACGCCTGCGGAACTGGGGCCTTTCACCCAATTTGCACCTACATTGAAGTTGGACATCATCCTGAGGTAAAGCCAGCTCTTAAAAGTGGTGTTTGCCCATGACCCTTTCCCGTGAGAGGCTTCATTACCCATCTCTGCAGCTCATTGAGCTTCTCTCTGCCTTACTGTTGAGCAGGACTGCTTCAAATTCAGATGCTGCTATGAATTTGATCTATGAATACAAAAAGAATGAGGCCATGACTCAGCAATAACAGGGCATGGGAGGGAGGAGGGAAGCGTTTGTTCCCCTGGGTTGCAGAGTCCGGGCGTTCTGTGTGGGCAGCAGATGCTGGATGTGTGCCGTCGCCACTGCAGCCTCCATTGTGCACTGCTGGCTCCCGATTTCCATCCTCAGCCAGGAGCGTCCCCTCCCACTGGACGCGTCTGCCTGGGGACAAGAAGGCGCCGACGGGTGCCAGGGGCCTGGTCTCATGCTACACCCAGGTCATTCTTGTTCCTCTAAGCTTTGCTTTTGTACTTTTAGTTATTACTTTGGCATAGAAAAGAAAAAAATAAATAAATTAACCTGCTGCTCGTAAAGATGTTTTGGTGCAAAAATTGGTGAGGAAGTTATAACGTTACGTAAATTGACGTAAAAATTAATATTAAGGAAACATTGTTAATGTTGGAAATAGCCCAGTGCCTTAGGGTTATCAATCACCCTCAGCTGTAAAACATTTTGTGCTTTTTGGCATTCAATCCTAAGAAGAACAAAAGTGTTCATGTGGTGAGAAAATCATTTGTGACAGAATTTTCTTCCAAATTGGAATTCAGAAATACTCAGTGAAGAAAGGATTTGTCCAGGGAGTATTTCTGGAATCCTAAAGATAAGATCTAATTTGCATGTTTGCCACTTTATTATAACCAAAATTGGAGGTTCTCTCTTGCGATTTTCTTAAGGTGTCCTAAGGAGATGCACGTGTCCTCTCTGTGGATCCAAAACAATTGGTGGCAAAACTTCCTCATTCAAGCAGGTGTTTTCTAGGTGAAACTCAACTCTGACGATTTCCCAAAGAGCCTGGGAACAGGCAGAATCTCCCCCCAGGCCTCACCCGCTGCCTCTCCCTAGCCTATTCCCACTGTGTCCACTCCTCCTCCTTCCCTCCTCTTCCTCTTCTATCCCCTCCTTCTCCTGTCTCCTCCACACCCGCACAACCACACATACTGTCCTCCCTGGCATATCCAAGAGTTTTAAATAAAAAGCGATGACAAGGAAGCACGTCCTCCATGTATTCCTCACTCCGTGTTGACGGAGTTAGGAGCAAGTTCATGCGCGTAGCCCTGGGATTTTATGCACTTAACATTTCCATCACCTTCTGACTAAATCCCTCCCTCCTTGCTACCGTTCTCCAGTTACCTGCCGCACTCAGTGGGGTGTTCTAGAGGTGGCCCTGCGTGCCTGTCCTGCAGTTGCCCCAGAGAATGCTGCCCACACGGTGGTTTTCTGCTGTCCAGAGCCACGCAGTGCATGGTCGTCAGTGAGGTCAGAAATGCACAGCTCCCGAAGGGTGGGAGAGGCAGAGCTGGTATCACAGCAGGTCCACATCTTGCTCTACCACTTACCAGTGAATGACATTGGGAGAATTCCTTGGCTTCTCTGAGACTGGTAAAATGGTTAAGAACTAAAAAACATGAAGCAAAGCTTTCTCATCTTCACTATCCACAGATTTTAAATGAGAGGTTGACTTTACCACCTCTAACCACCCCCCAGTCCTCCCGGCACGACCTGATGCAAGTGTCTGCTACGGAGGCCAGAGTGCTAATCCAGTCACTGGAGAGCCGTCTTCTCTCTGCCTCCTCCTCAGGGCTTTTGTCCAACCACAATTCAGGACAACTGCTTGGCCTGGAGCTGTTTGTTTTTCACTGTTTCTGAGCTGGAAACTGGTCTCTACATTGCTGGGGGCCTCAAACATTGTCTGCTAGTTTGACCAAGATGAAGAAGGACAATTAATTTTAGAGAATGCAAGTCTGTACCCTGCTGAAAGCTACTGCTGTTTTTCTTGCAGTAATTGTCAGCTTACCTATTAAATACCTCTCGCTCCATCTGAGGCTGTGCAGGGATGACACCGAGCATCCTTGGGGCTGGGTGATTCCGCACTGAGCTTCATTCCCCCATTTTAAACATTTGAGACTGACAGGGTCTTGATGGCCATTTATAATAAAGCAGCCTGTGCTGGCCCTGCCTTTTTATCATTTACCCACAGTTTTCTTCCCTTTCTAAGCTTTCTGTTTGATGGAGTTAGCAGCCTATTCCCTGCATCCATCTTGCCTGGTGGGCAGCGGGGCTGGAGAAGTGCAGATCACCGCCCAGGGTCTTCCAAGGTGAGAAATAAACGAGCCTTTCCACCTGGACTCGTGGAGGTGGCAGACTGGGATGGGAGTGTTTTCCTGAGACTCTGAGACTCAGACCCCTGGAGAAATGTCCTCTTGCAGAATCTCAGTGACTTTGATTTGCAGGAAAACTATAAATTGGGAAATACCATTCCAGACTGTTGAGGAGGTCAGAAGGAGATGATTATGCAATTACCTGGGGGAATGGGAGTAGTCTAGACAGGCAATCTAGGAAATTCTGGAAAAGATATTATCAAGATAGCTTGTCCAGACTACATCAAGTTCAATTTTCAGTGCTTAAGCTGCTTTATGAAACAACCTGCTTTAAACTGATCTGCACTGGTACTTACACTACTACCCTTGGCTTTAAAGGATTATGCTGCATGTGAAGTTGAGAGAAAGGCACACTGTGTACTTCATACTGTCAGGGAAGAACGGCAGTAATGAAACGGTTGGACGAGCAAGTAGTAAAGCCACAATCAGGCTGGCGCTGTAGCCGGGAGTTCGTAAACTCTCCTAAAGTGTGTATATACCAACTTTTACTAACAAAGGGCATTTTCAGATAGGAACAACTGCCTCCCAAATTCTAGTTCAGGAATTGCATGTATGTTTGTTATACCTGCCCCATCAAATGAAATATGAATTTATATAAAAATGCATTTGTCTAGTCATATAACAAATAACTATCTTTACACTGTTGCTAGAAAATAACATTATGAACATAAATTCTAGGTGGCAAAATGCCACAGAAGTAAAGACTTCAATTTACTTTTGAAGCAAATCAAGTCTCTTTGTTATTTAATCTCTTTGGAACTTGCCGGAGAAAATTCGCACTTTCTTTTAAGTAATGATAAAGCAAGTAGCAAGATGCCTCCAAGCTTAGCCTTGTGGTTGTGAAAATAGACTTCTTTTTCTCTTCCAGCTTTTTAAGGCCCATGTGTGGACTCTTGGAAAATTGTATTCTAAACTCTTGTCTTGCTGCACAGTGAGTGCCTTTTGGCCACACGCAGCACGTCATTGATTTCTGTATTAAACAGGCTTTCTGCTCCCTGCGGCCCATCTGGGGATTGGTAGACATATTAATTAGCTGCAGTTCTGGAGGATGTGTGTCAGTCAGTTCCTGGGCATCTGCCAACGGCACTTGACACAGCGGATAGCTGCCATGGAGGTCCCACGCTCTGCACATGTGTGTGTGTGTTCACCACAAAACGCGTGCAGCTCCGGGCACACAGCCGTGCAGATGTGAGCGCGGATGAGCCCTGAGCTGAGGCTCTTGGGTCCATGCCACTCGGATGCAAACTGTGAGATGTCTTTGAGAGGCAGACTCTTCCCAAGTGGATCACAGGGCATGGTATTTCTCCTGCAAATTTACATCTGTTAAGAAAAAATTGTATGAATTTAGGAAGAGTATAGCTTTTCAAAGGTGTCTCTGGGTTTTTTCTCAAATTACAACGGGCCTCTTCTGTGTGCTGGCAGGAAATGTAAAGAAAGACAGACTCAAGCAAGAGCGGGAAATTATTAACTCTATAAATACTCTCATAATGTCATGATCTCAATTTATGATGGAACCAAAGGGACATTCAGACATGCAGGGAGGCTTAATGGCTATCTCTAAGGCCATTGCTACAATGACAACCAATATATCTGTGCATGAAGGAAAATGGGTTTTCTGTTTTTTTCATTTCTACCTAGAACAGCAATCTGCTCTTCCGTAAAACTTGCAATCGAATGCTCTTAGCAACAACCCCCAAGGCCTCAGTGCTGTGTAAGTGGTGGGTGATATTGTGGCAATTGATTGATACATCTAATCTAACCCCTTCCAGTCGAGTTATCTCTCTCAATTATGTTGTTCTTTGGTCCAGTAGAGAAAAACTTATTTCTAAGAAGAAATACTAATGCTGAGAATTTCAGATATCCTGGCAAAATAAAGAGGAGCTGCTTTGGGGAGGGGACACCGCTCCCTGGCTCCAAGGTCACAGGTAGGAGCCCTAGTTTCTTTGTAACAAGCTAACCCAGCTGACAAAAGCAGAGATCCACAGTCAGGCAGCTCCTTGCTGTTCCGCAAGACCTGCACCACACAGGCAACCAACCCTACTTCCCCTCGCTGACCTGAGCCAAACGCAGTCAGCATGAAGTCCTCTGGGGTATCCAGGTTCCTCTTTCCTAATGTTTTGAATACTTGAATCATGTTGGAAGATCAGCCTGTATAAATGACTATGCTTGTAAACAGTACTACCATTTATATTTCAAGTTGCACTCTAACATGACCTGCAGTTTCTATTTGAGGAGTCCTCATAGTTCATAAATTCTGAGAGAATTTAGCTCACCAATGTATTTTAAATGAGCTATTAGAATCCTAAACTCTAAATATTATCAATAAGATTATTTCTCTAAAATTAATTTTAGAAGTGGCCAAGTTCAGCAATGAGGGAACCCCACTGCTATGATTAGAAACAATGCTAGATTAAATTAAGATTCAAAATGGTAAAAATAAAAAAGATCTAAAACTCCAAGCTAGAATCCCCTAAACACATTTAAAATTATTTCTCATCACCATTCGATATTTTGATTTGACTGGCCTGAATATATGCTGCATGTACTAAATAGTTATGCAATTAATATTACTTCAGCCCATCACTTACTTGGTTCAGTTGTATGAAGGTTTCTCTCACACTGTTTCACAACTGTTTATTCCA